TTTGTTTGGACTGCTACTTGGGGAAAAATTTTAACATTGGATAATCTGCGTAAGAGAGGTAATACCATTGTTAATTGGTGCTGTCTTTGTAAAAATGATGGTGAGTCCGTGGACCATCTTCTTATGCATTGTCCTGTTGCATCTGATTGCTGGAATCTCATATTCAGTATTTTTGGCGTTCAGTGGGTAATGCCTAAGCACTCTTTCCAATTAATTAATGCTTGGAGAAGATGCCCTATTTCTGATCATGCTCGTGATTTTTGGAGGGTCGCCCCACATTGTGTTTGGTGGTGTATTTGGAGAGAGAGAAATAACAGAAACTTTGAAGGGAAGGAATTGTCTTTTGCAAACCTTAAGTCTTTTATCCTACGCTCTCTTTTCTGTTATGTCAGAGGCAGCGCTTGCTCCTCGATCGATGACTTTTTTGTTCTATTGGACTCTATTAGTCCTTAGGTTTGGCTTTTGCTCTTTCGTTTTTGTGTATTAGGGACGCGTTCCCCTTTTGAACGTCTTTCTAATATATTTTTATTTATCAAAAAAAAAAACTGAATCAATCCCTAGCCATACGAGAAATTGGAAAGATAAAAACCGCAACAATGTCTTGATCTAAGAAGCACGGACACGGATACGACACGACAGAGACACGACGACACAGCAAATCCAAAAAATTAGGACACGGCAGGGACGCGGCGAATAGTATATATTTTATATATATATATATATATATATATATATATATATATGATGTAGTACTTTAAAAATTACTAAGTGTTACGATTTTTCATCAACCTCATAATGAAAAAAATACACAAATCATAACTCATCTACTGTAATAGTGTAATGAGTGGCCCTTAAATATCTATTTGTTTTATCTAAAATTGCATATTAACCTTACAAGTTTAAAATTATTATGTACGGACCACATAAGTGAGTATAAGTTATTAAATAACTTCACATATTTATACTTTAACCCAAATTTTTTTCAAAAATTATCTTTTAGACCCCTGAAAATAAGATAAGCGTGTCGAACACACACCCTTGGCGTGTCGGACGTGTGTCCGCGGAGTATCCGTGTTGTGTCCGAGCCGTGTCTGAAAATTAAAAAACATGAACAAAAAATTCCAGACACGTTTTTTGGTGTGTCCGACACGTGTCGGGGCGTGTTCGACGCGTGTCGATGTCCGACACATGTCGGACACGGATTCTTCACCCATTTTGACATGTCCATGCTTCCTAGGTCTTGACACACGCTCCATCAATTCTTTTAAAGAGAGATGACTGGCCATACACCAGCCTATTCCATACATGTCTCCAATGCGGAGATAAAAGTTTGTAAAATCATCAATTTTTTTATTTATATATATATATATATATATATATATATATATATATAAAATGTAATATTGTATTAAAAAGGAATTCAAAAGGGGAACGCATCCCTCAAAAGCTATACAAAGCCAAATAGGGCTTTTAAACTCTCAAAGAGTCCAAAAAATCAACTAACACCTCCATTGATTTACACTATCTCCCTAGAACCCAACAAAAAAGAGTATTAATGATGGAGAACTTAAGCGCACCAATAGGATTCTCCATTCCTTCACAAAAAATCAACTAACTCCTCCATTGATTTACACTATCTCCCTAGAAGCCAAGAAAAAAGATTACTAATGATGGAGAACTTAAGCGTACCAATACGAGTCTCCATTCCTTCAAAGGATCTCATATTTCTTTCAAGCCATAAAAACCACCAAACGCACAAAGTCGTGACCCTCCAGAAATTACAAACTTGGGCCCCCACTATACAACCTCTCCAAACCTCAACTAAGCCTCTAGAAGACCTCAGCATAACCCACTGAACCCCAAACAAACTCAAAAAAAAAAAAAAAAAAACCAGCAATCACAAGCTGCTGGGCAATGCAAAAGAAGGTGATCAATCATTTCCTCATCTCTCTTGCACATGCAGCAACAGTTAACCACCAAGTGTCTCCTCCACTTTAAATTATCCTAGGTTAACATCCTTCCCAGCACCGAAGTCCAAACAAAGAAACCCACCTTAAGGGGGGCTTTAGAACGCCATATAGCCTTCCATGGGAAGGAATACCTTAGAGCATCTGTAAGACGCCTATAAAAAGACCGAGCCTCAAAAAAACCCTAGGAAGATGGAGCCCACACCCAAGAATCAGGACCTCCCCCAATCACTTGGAGATATAGTAGCTCCAGATAAGCAACGGCATCCTCAATCCTGAAAATGCCTCAAAATAAATGCACATCCTAGTATGTTCTCCCACTATCAAGCTAATAGCAGTCGACCACCAAGGCATGACTATCCATGGCAATCCTAAAGAGCCTGGGGAAAGAAAGGGCCAAAGATCGCTTGCTTCACCAAATGCCCTTCCAAAAACAGATCCTCATACCATCCCTGACACGAAATCTTATGTGTTTAGAAAATTCATCCCAACATTTCCAAATGAATTTCCAAACCCTACTCCACCAAGAGAGAGTACCTTAAAAGAGCACCAACCTCTTCTGTCCTCCCGAAACCTTCTCGCAATCACCCTCCTCCAAAGTTCGTGCCTCTCACTCCCAAATCTCCAAAACTACTTCCCCAAAAGGAACTTGTTGAATGGCACCAGTCTTCTGATACCCAAACCTCCAGTCTGAATCGAACTGCAAACCTGATCCCAACGAACCAAATGAAACTCAACCACCTCACCTCCCCCATTCCACCCCAAAGGAAATTCCCCTGGAGCCTCTCTATCCTATCAGCCACAGAAAAAGGGATATGAAAAAAGGGGAGGAAATAAGTCAGAACGCTTAAAAGAGTACTCTTCATCTAAGTAACCCTCCCATCTTTTGAAATATATTGCTTTTTTTCCAACCAGCCAAACTCCTTTCAAACCTTTCCACCATAAGGTCCCAACCTCCCACTATCCTCGATAGAGCCCCAACAAGCAACCCCAAATAAAAAATGGGGAAGGAGCCAATGCCGCAACCAAGAATATCAGCTAAAGTGGAGATTTCAGGGACCTCCCCCACCCGAACCAAAACACTCTTTCCCACATTCACCTTCAATCCTGAGACGACTTGAAACCATATCAAAATTACACCACAAATATATCATTTGAGCCTCCTCAACAGCGCAGAAAACCAAAGTATCATCAACATGTGCTACTTGGTCACCCATGGACCTATGATGTAAGTGTAACTCACTATTGTAGAGAGAACACCTATAGCTTTAAGTATCATGGTAAAACTATCAAGTCAAAACTTGCAAAACCATTAGAAAGGGACTCTAAGGTACAATTACAATATAGGTCTTCTCCTCCTCAGATTTGTGATAACTGATAACAAAAACATCTTGAAAAAATAACAAAAACAAAAACAAAAAAACAAAAAGAAACGGCTAAGGAAGTTTCCCATGTCCGGTCTAAGGCATTTGAAATAAATCCACAAATGGGAGTCATTACAAGGTGAGATAAATCAAGATAGTGGTGCAGAGACTAACACTTTATGAGTAACCCACTTCCATCGTGTCCAATAAGGATGTCAAGTACATAAGTCATTTTTGGAAAACACTTTGGACATCTTTAGGCACCAATTTGAAATTTTCCTTTTCATTTTGTCCTCAAACTGAAAGAAAAAATGAAATAGTTGAAGGAAGTCCAGGAAAGTTGATTCAGTGTCTTGTGGGAGCACATGTAGATATTGGGAACTCATTGTTGCCTCTTATGGAGTATGTATATCATAGATTGGTCAATTAGTCAATTGATAGCTATCCTATTGAGTGTGCATATGATTTTCTGATCTTATACCTATGCCTCCATATTTCTATTTGTTTGAATTTGTTGATTCCTTTGTCCAGCTTGTCCATGAGCTTCATTCCGATATAAGACAACGAATTGTTTCGAGTAATAAAAATTATTAAATTACTGCACATGCTCATATTAGGAATCAAAAATTCATTGGAGGAGATTATGTTCTAATTCGTGTACCACCACAACCTTATAACTCCTTCGAGACTTTGCAAACGCAAGTGATTCAACATTTCCACATCACTCATAATTGCGGACCTTATGCATATTTATTTGACTTGCTATCTGATAATAGAATTAGTCCAATTTTTCATTTAGAAAGGGATAGCAATTACTATAAAAAATAAATAAATAAATAAATGAATAAAAGAAGAAGATACGTGAGGAGCGAGTCTCTAGATGAGTGGACGAAAGGAATAGATTTTCAAGGAAAAGTTTGGTGTCATCTATGACTAGAAGTAACTAGGCGTTCAATGGTAAGTGAATTGTTAACCTAATACTAATATCTTTCATGTGTAGTGGATTGCTTTTCCTTTTTTGGATTTTCCACATTAAGGTTTGTGCGTCTCTGCTCCACTATACTTTACTTTCTGTTTGTCGCTTGATTGTGAGTTTGATTGATGAAAATTGAAAGTTAACTACAATTTCAAACTCAATCTTCAGAACAAACTAGCTGGAATTTCAAAATCAAAAGCATATCAGGCCTACTCATGCCTCCCACAAGGAAAAGTCACCGCCCATACTCTGACACATCATATCCTCGGCTAACCATCCCAGGAACTATCAATGATCAATAAAGGATGTGCAAGAAGTTGCAAAGATGCATCTTTGGGGATGGAGGTCATCATACCAACTTTTTGACACCATTACAAAAAAGGAAAAGAAACTATTCCAGAAAAATCTCTTATAAGAGATTTCATATTTGTTATTCGTAAATTATATATCTTAGCAAATCAGCCTTCAACAAAGAAAGGTGTCAAAAAGGTAAAAGGAAGAAGAAAGAAAGGGAAAACAAGCTAATCAATATGTCCATGCAGGATAATGGCCTCTTCTTAATGAAAGCAATATCTACACAATTCAGATATGAACAGAAGATAAATTCTATGAGAAATCAGGAAAAAGAAAACATATTTAAGATACACACATGTTGAAGAATATTGAAATAAATAATAAAAATTAATAGCATACCTTTAATAATTGTTTCTAACAAAACAGGGCAAACTGTGTTAGCAAGAATATGAGAAATAGCCTCCAAATGTTGATCACCTGTGTCTTGCCAAAAGAACTTCATGCATGGCATGTCAACCCACTTGCTATCATGATGTTGCTGAAAAGAACAACACTCACTGCCAAGAAGAAATACAGTTTATAGAAATAAATAACTCTGTAATTCCATACATTAAGAGTATTATGCCAAGTCATGGTGAAATGGTGGTATACAAGGAGCAAAAATGAAAACAAAGGTCGGTCACTAGAATTTATAAAAAGTTCAAACAATTATTTTAAGGTGTGAATATATCCTAGTTAACAACAACAATTTACAAAAAGTTCAAACAATTATTTTATGGGAGAAATTTTAAATCTTTAGAGGATTTTGTTGTTTTTTATTATAGTTCTAGTGCATATACAGGTTTTTTTTGGCTTTTGTTAAGTTGTATTTGGTATGCGCTCCCCCCTTGAGTGCTCTTTAATGAATCTTACTTGTAGAATAACAAAATAAAAATGATATGCCATATGGTAAAGCTCGTCTCAAACTCTGATTACAAGTCTAATGATAAAACTAACCTGACAGATAGCAAAATTCTCTTGAATAGATGACCAACTTTTTTCTTCTTCCGAAATGAATTAACAGTTTCTTGGCACTTTTGAAGAACCTCCGACATACTGATGTTTGCATCCTTCAACTGCATCTGTTCAGCCCATAAGTCATAAAAAAAATTAAAAAATTATTGGGCGTGCAATATACCTTCAAACAAAGGAAACGCACCAGAAGTTCAAATGCTTTTCAAAGACATACCAACCTTATTGAGATGAATATGACCAACCAAGCCATGATCAATTTCAGAACTATCGTAAACAGTTTGCTGTTGTCCTCTATATCTGTAAGGATGAAACCACCAGAAGTTTTAATAGCAACTCAAAACACCATTATTTTCACACATGAAAACAAGTAAAACCTCTTATTAAATTCAAAACATCATGCACATCAGGAGAAGACCAAGTTTGACAACAATATAATGCTTACTATAGCAAAAGGTAAAATAATCATGCAAAATGATGATGCTAATAAACAATAGATGACTCGTGTACGGTAAATTTACAACAAAATTTGTAACCACTAAATATTACCATTAAATGGTAAGTATCCACACATGGAAAGCACATAAAAGCTCAAACACCCGGGAAAAAAATGAAAAGATGTACCAATATATTCAAGATAAATAGATTGTCAATAAAGTCACAAAACGAAAGGCTAAAGCATCGTATTACCAGAACAGCCAAATGGAAGCAAGGGCACTAGCAAAACATATAGTGACACATGGACACAAGTCTGAAACCTCTTAGACATGTCCACAATTAAAAATAACTCTTTTTAAACATATAACCGATAGTTCTCCATCTTATCTTTACATGTGTCCAGTGAGCCTTAAATGTTGAATGGAACTTCCTTTTAACATGGAAGGAATGTATAGTCGTAATAAAAATCAAATCAAAGGTTTCTATACGATTTATATAGAGGTATAACTATATTTAAAAAACAAATGACATATGAAGTTCTTATTAAAGATTGGGCAAGGAACTAGTAGAGGATTCGTCAAATACATACCCACACGTATCTACATAAGAAAACAAACAAGTGCTCATATATATAGGGCATGTACTTGTTATGTACCAAATATTTTAAGTTAAGGTCATATAATTATATATTTTCCATGTAACGACCCATAAATTTTCAGTGATTAGGACTCCCCACCTAGTCATAAAATAGGATCAAATAGACTTGATTAAGTTAAAAGACCGTGAAATATGTAATCATAACCAGGGGCAAAACTTTGACAAATGGGGATGTCAATTGATAACTTGGTGGCTTGTCAAGCCTGTCAACTTTGACATGACATAGCGGAATTAGTTCGATCAAGCTACCCCTCAATCTACCAAACTATGCCAGGTGGCTGTGGTAGAAGGACCCCATGCATCACAAGCTAGAAATACGGGGGCCTCCACCCCTTTTTGGCCAACGGAACTTATAATGTGTAACCAAGGAGAGAGGAAGAAGAAAGAGAGAAACAAGAGAGAGGAAGAAAGGGATAGAATCACTCTGCTGTAAAGATCGTGACAGTCCAAGCAAACATTGGGACACAATGCCAGCACAATCAAACTCAGAATACAGAAAGGACTCCCATCCTTAAGTGAAGCTAACTGAAACCAACCACCCCTCAATTTTAAATTATATCTTAAAAGTAATCCAGGTAATATGTGACACAATGCCAGCACAATCAAACTCAGGTAATATGTTCTATGCTATTATCTTGCCTATTATTGCTCCATATGTGATAAGACATCATAATTATAGTGAGATGCAGCCATCCTCCCTGAAAATATTGTTATGTTTTATAACACTGAAAGATATCAATGTAATGTACCACATTATTATCTTCTATGTGACGTACTGTGTATATTTTTGTGAGCTGGCAGTTGTTTGGAGAAACTTATTATACAATATTTATTGGTTTTAATAATATCTTTGTAAACTGTGATGCTGATGTGATCCCGATATACTGTGTATCATCACAGTAATTGAACATTAATAATGAATTGTAAGAACCCAAATGCGATTATCTCAAACTGTAATTTGAGAAGAGGCAATAGAGAAATGTAGCATATCTCGAGGTTCTGCAAATGCCAATTTGGTGAATAAATTAATTGTAACCTAGTGTTTCCAGTGCAGTTTCTTTATCTGCTTCTGCTGGCTCCTTTGTGATGGCAGTCAACTGGATATTGTTTGGTTCAATCCTCATATGAGCTATTGTTGTCTTTTGTTTACTAAAACGTTCTTTGGAGTCCTTGTTGATTTGCGATCATTGATTCTTGTTCTGGATTCCGGTTGAGGATTGTGTTGGATTTGAGGCCCGGTTCAGTTTTGTTGGCAGCCTTGGTCAGTTGATCCTGCAGCCCTTAGGAAGACACTACCTACATGTTGACTCCTGGAAACAAACTACAATGCGCATTGCGGCAAATAAAAGGATGACACTTTACATGGAAGAAATAGGGGAAGAGGCTTGTCTGGAATGCAACTGACCTAAGGTAAGCCTGTGTTACTGACCATTGTATGTGGTGATGTAGGGTTGAAGTTCCAGTTCGGAAGACCGGTAACCCCTGGGAACAAACTGATACATGCGTAGTGGAAATGTACTTTGCATGAGTGATTCAAGGGAAGGATCCTGATCTGTCAATATCAAAAACCGTAGCTGATTGTACTCCAAGGTCTTGTTGTAGTTTTTTTTTTTTGGGGGATAAATAAGGTACTTGTTGTAGTTCAACAGACATGAGACGGATGAGCTACAATAAAGGGCATCTGGGGTTTCTATGTCTTGTCCTCACAGTCTCATATATAATTATATGTGAATATTATTGCCGTATCCTCCCAGTTTCCAAGTCCTATTTTTTATGATTTTCTGTGTCAAGGGTCAGTGTTCTTTGTTGTGCCTTGTCCCATGATCATATCCATCCATCTTAGATGACAATAAAGTTAAGAAGAACAAGTCCATATGTGCTTGTAAAATATATATACATGTATATACATAAGAAAAGTAAGAGACAAGAAAAAAAGATAGACAAGTACGTACATGTGTAAGAAAAGTAAGAGACAATAAAAATGATACACAATAAAACATACTCAATTAAGAGCTCCACTGCAGTATCCTTAAGACTGACTTTTTTCAACTGATTTTTGACGAGATATGCAGCATTTTCTTGGCAGTACTTCCTTCCACAACCACATTCATTCAAATACAGTATCACCCGACGATCAAATACATCGTTCTTGAAATTGACACGGCAAAGTAGTATCTCCTGAACAGAGAAAATCACAGAAAGATTGATATCCACACAATGGCTACGTAAAGTATAATTGGACAAAACTGAAATCATCAATCAAAATGAAACAACATGTTCCCAATTTTAAAAGTATTTACCTTCATCATCTCCCAAGAGCAATTACTACTTGGAGAAGATTCAAGAACTGCCTTATATGCAGGATTTGACATGGCAGTTGCAGCTAACACTCCAACAGGTTCACCAGCAGGGAAGAAATTCCGGGGCCCAGTTCCAGCCTTAACCCCATATTCAAACTGAATAATGGAATTGCTACAAGCATTCCTCACTGTACCATCATAACAGATAACGACATCCCGAAGGATGGCCATTAAGTTTTTGAATAAAGTTCCTGGTTCGCTCAGACCTTTAGATGACCGTACAATTACTTCTCTACTAGAGATGGAATGGACCATCTCCTGATACGGATCTAATCCATGGAAAAGGCAGCTTCTTACTAGTCCAAATTTTTCAGACTGATAATGAACACCAAAAGGATATTTGCGGTCAAAAGCCAGAGTCATGTCCTCAAGCAAGGTTCCTGAATAAAATTTCCCCTTGCTTGAAAGCTGTAATCCCAATATTCCAATCTGTTGTACCACCTTGTTTACGGCTGAATCACTCCTGGAGTCAATTAGATTACCCATTGCAGACGACTTAAGAATGAAATTAGCAATGGGCAGTTTGAATAGCCGCAACTGATTCTCCAATTGCAATTCTATCCCCTCATTGGAAGTGGACCGTAAGTGATACAAAAGTGGTGAAATTCCTTGTATATTCTTTTGGATATCTTCTATAATGCCTCTGGGAATGGAAAAATCTTCCAAGCAAACACTGAAACCTTCTGAAAATATATTTTCCATTAACAAAGGTTGTAAGGAATTAAAGAACCTCAAAACCTCATCAGGCCCCTTCTCAGAGAAAATAGATGTAACAATGTCGTTGATAATGGACTGCATTACATCCCTATTAAAATCGACTTTCAATATCTCACTTTTTCTTATAAGGTGTCTCTCCCCGCAACAGTCAAAGCAAGCAGGTAGAGCAGTCTGTAACATCTGTAAAGCAGTCCAAAGAGGGCCAGAACCATACGCCTTCAACAATGCAGGCTTTGGTAGGGAATTCAAAACAAACATCGCTAACTGCTGTGCGGCTGCTCTATTTAAGAAGTAATTCATAAACATCATCTTCAGGGATAACAATGAATCGGTGGCCAGCTGCAAATTAAGGTTGCCACTGTGGGAGCTAAGCAACTGTTTCTCAACTGAGAATAGCTCCAACACTTCTGCCTTCGCTGCAAGCGACTGGGGATAAAATAAATGAACGCAGTCCCCATCAAAATCAGCACTAAGAGGCCCACAAATAAGAGGGTTGATCTTAACTGTATGGTCTTCGTGAACATACACTGACAATGCTTGCAGGGAATGCTTGTGGGTAGTTGGTGGCCTATTAACAAAAACCATATCACCATCCATAATTCGTCGATGTACCACTTGACCAGATCTTAAAAATGTATGCCCCTTTGAACCTTCCCTCAATGAGTATGTGGACGAACCATCCTTATAGGTTAAACACAAGTTTTCATCCACCAGCTTCTGTAGGTATTTCATGTTATGCTGATTAACTCTCTCCTCAAAGGTAATTCTTTGAGCTATTTCAAACGGTAATCCGATTTCATCCACCCTTTTATACGGATCACCAGTTATGACACTACGAGAAGAAAACCCTGAACCCTTTCTAATAAACAATGTTTTCATCTTTTCAAGCCATGCTTTAGTAGAAGAATCATTGGGTTCTTTGTTTATCCCAAATCGTCCATCTAAATCCCGAGATGCCTTGTAGATTTGCATGAAAAGACAAAAAACAATTAATTGAATGCACATATCTATAGGTGCAAAAATGCCAACAAGAAGTTTTTTTATTTTTTTTTTTTTGTTGGATAAGACAAGAGAGTCAAGTAGAAGTTCCCCCATATCATTGTGAAAGAACAGATCCAAGCAACATATGCACATTTTAAAAGAATAAAACTCATCCAACGATGTAGGAAACTAATAACAAATGAAATTAAACTGCCAAAATATAAAACCATCAAGCAAAAACCAAAATAAATTATAGACAATGTTTCTGAAATCGTCCAAAATACAATGCACTGGCAGCAAGCAAAACTCAGAGTTAGCTATTTATTTGGACCAACAGATATCCTACATAGGCCATATCAGATGCTAAATGAAACCAAGCAGACCAACAGGCCTGTGGCCTAGCGGTACAAGGCTCCTACTTCCCAAAGGGAGGTCAGGGGTTCTAACCTCAGTGGAGGCAGTGTGTGTGAGTCCCAACTAGGAAAAAAAAAATTGAAACCAAGCAGCATATCCAATCCCACTCCCTTGAAAAACAAAAAATAAATGAAAATGATAGCCAGAATAATTAGGTAATGCAATCTCTTTCAACTAGTCAAAACTTGTTTGTGATTCTAAACATCATCTGGAAAAAAATTAAATCAAAAAATCAAAGTCATATAAGTACCTTGGCAGTGCCCCTAACTTGAAGATACTGTGCAACTGCTGCTTGCAAGTCATTTGCTTCAACTTCATGAGATTCGAAATTTGGAGTCCCGGACCTTGAATTTTTGATGATCTCGACTTGCTTCAACACTTTCTTAAGCATCATTGTGGAAAGATCCTGGAAAGAAACGGGAAAACTTTGCTTACTCCCAATCTAACAACTAAAGACAATAGATTTAAGCCCCCGAGTCAGATTTGACAAGAATGCCTAACCGAAGACATGACGCTAATTCCATCTGAAACGTCTGGCACTGACAAACAGTTCGGGGGTACTGGCAAATATTGCACAATATATCCATGTTGGGGGAAGTACCCCTTCCCAGCAAGCTTTTTTCTAGTCTCCTCGGGAATTTTTTTAAGAATTGCCATCACCTGTATTGTAGAAAATAAAAAATAGAGAAAAATCAAGCATAAGATTTGAAACAAAAGAAAGATAAGGAAAAAAAACATCATGTATCCATAAGAAACTTGGGGTATCAGCAATAATTTTAAAATAAATCAAAAGTTACAAAGAGACAATAAAATGGAAACTCCAAGTCCAAAACCCCATTAAATTGAAACTAAAATGGTAAATTCACACCAGATTAAACAAAATAAATGACGATATCATACCAAAGCATTTTCTTGGATACAGATTCTAATGACAAGATTTATCTTTAAAATTGAAACATTTTACAGCTGAAATATTAACTCATTCAACATGATGTCTTCTAATTAAAATAGGCAGATAACTCCAAAGAGTGGTTAGAAGCATAAACCACTCCTTGGAAAAATAAGTCCATCCAAAAAGAAACCCAATGAATAATATGCCTATTAACAAACAGAGAAAACCAACAGAGACGAAAAGAAAATCAACCTTTAAAGTCTGATATGCTTCAATTTGGGGAAACTTAATGCTGGGCCACGATGCCCTTCAAACGGACCTCAAGGAGGGGGGGAAGGAAGAAAAGAAACTATCCAATCACATAAAGTTCTAAGAAGCATCCTCTACAAATTAGCTATTGTCTTCATGCCAAAGGATATTCTCATGCATATATTGGAATTTTTCAACAGAAACTATCAGAAGTGGCATGCTCAGGCTTTTTGGATATGCATTTGAGTATGTCGGTTTTGTTGCCTAGTTACAATGAGGCAACAGGCCATATATCTAAACAAGAAGCAGCCTAGGCCTAGTAAATAATGTAATTCACAATGTCATCATTACCTAATAAGGTAATATAAGAGCACAGAGGAAGCCAAACCTCATAAGGAAGCAATGGTCGACGATGGTCATCACCATAGCGAAAACCATATCTTTCCAAAAAATTCCAAAATCCATCCTGGAGTCTCGACCTAGTTGGTAGTTTCAGCTCCAAGTAAAAAGCACCATCATTCGCTTTAACCTCATTGATAGAAATTTGTGAAGCCTCCTACAAAATAATAAAATAATCAGCCATACAAATAGTTAAACTGCCTTGAATGCCTTCTTTCATCTTGTTATCAACCGGCGCCAGCTCTAAATTTTTAGAAGTGTTCATTTCTCAAGCAACTAAAAAACCAAATATATCAGAATTATAGTCTTTATAAAATAATTATTTCAAGATACGATTTAACTACATTCCCAAACCTAGTTGTGGCTACTAGTGTTGGGATTGTATGCCGTCAACAAGCCAATCTTGCATTAGACGTTTTCACTTAGGGAATGACATTATTATTCATTGCCATTTACTCACATTATGGGTAGTTATGCATTAATAAACCCATGAGGTTGATAAAGCCCTTTAAAATACTAAAGGATGATTTAGGTGCATAGAGTAAAACTCATGTAAAAGAGCTAGAAATCATCAAATTGTTGTATTCTGAAAAATAACAGTTAATGACATAATTGAGCATTCTACCATACTGATATCTATGAGATAAGTTGGCTTATTTAGTCATTTGATGGAACACTCGGGTTTGATGTGTTTACACATTTGAAATGCATTGAACCATATTGTTGATAAGAATAGATAATATAAAATAGTTAATGAATGATTTTTCTTGAAATTTTACACTTGAAATTTTACAAAAATCTCTTATTCCGGAGAATATAATGGACTCTTATCTCTAATCTGAATTGTATTAAATTTTCAATGAGTGAGATCTTTAATAAAAAAACTTAAAAAAAATTTTAGCAAAGAGTTCGCTAAAATGGTTTTTGTTATATATGAACTCAAACATAGTATTATTTGTCATCATCTTTGGAGAAAAGATTAATATGATTAAAGGTGATAAATCAAATAACCAAAGTGGCTAGAAGTTAGTCACAAAGCGTACATTAAATCCTTTTTGAATCCCTAAAGCTAATTTACATGGAAGGGCTTATTTGCAATTTTTTAGCAATGTTGGAGATTCATAGTAATTATCATATTCTTGGAGTGCAATTATCTTACTTGATAATTAATGGGGCTATCAAGGTTAACAGTTAACTAGAATGGGGCTATCAGGGTTAAGAGTTAACTGGAAGTTAGTCACAGAGCGTACATTAAATCCTTTTTGAATCCCTAAAGCTAATTTAAATGGAAGGGCTTATTTGCAATTTTTTAGCAATGTTGGAGATTCATAGTAATTATCCTATTCCTGGAGTTCAATTATCTTACTTGATAATTAATGGGGCTATCAGGGTTAAGAGTTAACTAGAAAGCAACATTGGACCCATTAGAAAAAAGATTAGAGCAGGCCTCAGGTATCCCACTCCTAGCAGGAAGCATTTACTAGTTCTTTTTGCGAAGAGAAGAAGCAGAAACCCTGGCTGCCATTAGTTCTCCTCTGCCACTCTTTCTCTCTCTATCCTGCTCTCTTTAAGCTTCCTTGCTGAAGACCTCAAGTTGGAGAGCCAATTCTCTATTTAAGAGGAATCTGAAGGGGCATAAAGGGGATAATTTTAAAGATATCTGAAGCAAAATTCATCATATATGTCAAGCAATGACAATTTTTGAATTATTTAATCTAATCATAGGGCGGTTGCTTGACTTGTTTCGTGTTGGTACCCATAAATGGGAGGTGTAGGATTCAAGTCACATTTAATCTAATCATCAGGTGGTTTGTACAAAGTACTGAAGGAAGATCAGAAATTTTCTTTTAAATTGCTTGCTTCCATGACTTGATATTTCGAACAACTAGAAAGTGGAAGCATGGTTGAAATAATGTTGCCTATAAAAAATGATCTTTCTTTTTTTACAAATATTTTTTGCATCACTTACCAAATATAAGTGATGCAAATAATATTTTTTGCATAAGTTCTTCAAATATAAGAAAATAATATCCGTCCACAACAACTAAGAGAACATTCTCCAAATATAAACGAATATTCTCACCTAAGAGTGTGGGCGTGCAACACAAACTTGTCTAAAATGATTATAATGTTCAGATAAAATACACATATACATACATATAAATTCACATTTGGAACTTCGAAATGCAAAGATTATTATATCTTAAACTGAAAGTTCTTAGAATTAAACTAATATATCTTAAAATGACATTTCTTATAATTTATCTTTGACTCTTTTTCTTTTCTTTTCTTTTCTTTTCTTTTTTTTTTTTTTTTGGGTGGGGGGGAGAGGGAGTAAATTACAATAACCTCCTTTGAGATTTGGCATAATTACAAAACCTCCCCTCGTTTTTCAAAATTAATATTGACTTCCCCTGTTATAACCAACTTCATTAAATATCATTGACGGAGAATGTAAAATTAACTTTTTTATCTCTCCCTGAAATTATCTAGTCTCTCTCTACCAAACAAATTTAAGATTTGCACAAGCAATCTTCTTTTCCGGTGTTTCCAACAAATGAGATAATCTGGTCAATCTTCTTTTCCTATGAAGTAAGTGCTTCTGGTCACATTAGTATGGACATGGACAGTGATGGAGGAAGCAATTTTCACCCTTGATTTTGTCACTGGATATATAATACATCCCATGACAAATATATAAGTACTGGTGGTTAGAAGCAATACTACTTGGAGTATGCCAAGAGCAAAAACAAGATTAGCAATACATGATATCTTTTGATAGTCAAATGGTTAGATCCACCATTAATCATATATGGTTAGTCAAACTGGCCACGTTTCCTTTGGTACAAAAGTGAAAAGGTCGCAAACAAAGGAGACCATAGGTCCGATAGCGATCCGGTCCTAGCAAATCTGCTGACAATTTGGGATTACCCCGATTACTTAGATTGCCCAGAGACAACAGTTTTCTTCATCCTCCAGCTTTATAGAGATGAAGGCAACAATCTTCACCATCCGTATTTCCTATATAGCCACCTACTAAGAAGCACGGATATGGGAATGGGACACGGATACGACACGACACAAACACTCAAATCGTAATAAAGAGTTAAGATAAGGACATGGCGATGAATAAATATATCTTTTATCTTTTTATATCTATGGTCCTCTATTTAAGAATAATATTATTTGTCATCAACCTTACAATGAAAAAATCACTAATCATAATACATAATGAGTTATAAATATATTTAATTTATCGTTTAATGAACTAAATCTACTTCATAACAACAACAATAGTTGTTCTTTAAACAAATAAATAAAAGAAGACATGCTCGAGTCTGCTGGTTAGAAATTAGGGCTTTTTTAAGGTTGAAAATGGTTGTTTTCAACGCGCGGCTGTTACACGGTTTTTAATTTTATGCGAGAGTGAATTCACGCCACTCATCTCTCTATTTAATGATCTGACGTGTGGCAGATGAGTGGTCATTTTTACTGCCATGTTTTCTTTGTTTCTGTCACATAGGGCCCAGTGCAGTTACTTTTTTTTATTGGACCCAGTGCATTTACTTTTTGACTTTTCTTACTTTTAAATTTGCTTCGTATATTTTTTACTCTTAGGAAACTTGCATACTTTTCTTAGTAGTATTTAAAAAACAATATATATAGAGCCTTGTGCAGTTACTTTTTACTTTTACATTTACTATACTTTTCTTGTAAAAAACCATCTACCTTACCAACCAAATGACAAGGATATCTCTCTTTTTTTCTTTTTCTTTTTTTGTAGAGAGAGAGTAGGACATAATGTCTATACTTGAGAGACTTAGATAAATAGGTTATACTTTTATTATTGTATAATATATATATATATATATATACATATATATATATATATATATATATATATTTTTGATAAGTATTATCATTGTGTGTGTATATATATTTTTTTTTTGATAAGTATTATCATTGTATAATAATTAAGACATGTCCAAGTGTCCGTGTCCAAATTTTGGACACTTTTTAGCTGAGTCCCCGTATCCTATAATTTAAAAAATGATGGATCCGACCTCTAGACACATACCCGTGTCTGATACCCGTACCCGAGTCCGGGTAACATAGATACAAATATTGGGACTTTAGAATGAAGACGTGGGAAAGAAGCAAAAATGAATGAGATGGGCTGATAGGGGGGAAAAGGGGGGGAAAAAAGAGAAAAACAAAGATGGTCAGTGTAATTTACCCCTTTCCTTTATAACTAGCACTCATCTTCAAACTTACCAAATAAGAAGTTGGCTAAGTGCGCAAAACGTTATGCGGAATATAAGATCTTTCAACGGGGAGGAATCTTCCATTGGGGCTTTGAAATTTCTAATCATTAGTTCTCTTTTTGGTTGGGTGATGGGGAGAAATTGTCAATCTTTAGAGGAGTTTGTTGATTTTTTGGGTTCCTTTCTTTGGCTTCGGCCTTTGTATAGTTTCCGGGATGCGTTCCCCATTTGAACGCTTTTTATTATATTCTCACTTATCAATAAAAAAAGGACAACTAAAAGTGAAAATGAGAATACCAACCAGTATTTTTTATATCCATAACCTATTCATAACAACTACTGAAATTAACAATGACAATAACAACAATAAAGCTAATAATAATAACTGAGAATTGAGAACTGAAAGCAAAATAAGACATCACCTACTCAAAAACAACCTAGGGCGTTGAGTTTGAATTGAATCAAACATTTGGTTCTCCATGCACCCGGAAAGTTTAAATCCCATGCTTGGATATTGAGTTTGAGAAACGTTACCACTTGTTACCTCCACAAGGAACACGTACTGTGCCTTATCCTGCATATGAATTATGCAGGTCAAAGAGAAACAAGCAGTGCAGCACCTTTCCTTCCTTGCTCTCTCCGCCTTCCCTTCCCAAGCACACACACCCTCTCCTGGATACACACTATAACCATCCTTTCTACTACAGGTACTTCCTATCTAAAATATTGGTGAACTGTATTATGCCATGGGATATAGCACCTTTACCAATTCAAATACCTTGACTCTTAGTCACAAAGTGAAGTGATTTAATTTGTGCATATTTATTATCTGGTGATACCGAAGGAGAGAAACAGTGAAAGAATCTTATAATATGAATTATCCAGCAGTGGACCAACGCTTAATCCTATCACAAAGATCTTGGATAACAAAAGAAATCAAAATGCATTAATGCTGACACAGTTAGACATCAATTCAAGCATGTAGCCTTCCCCGACCAAGACAAGTTTAGTGACAATCGGAGCTGCCTTCCAAATGGTAAGCTCAAGATAAAAATTGATGGGTGATTTTCATTTGCTTTTCTTTCCTGGAAAGCATGAGGGCAAGCGAAGATGGACTTTTCTACTATCAAGCTATTAAATCTGCGTGGAGGTATTGAATTATTTAATATATAATTTATATAAGCTTAATTTGTGCTAGAGAACCACTACCAGTATAATCACAACCACACGTCTTAAAAGAGCTCGTCTTAAAAATCGAGTTTCTTTTTTCTGATAAAAATATAAAGATCTAATTCATCAAATAAATATGTCATTCTCTGGATCCCCAGAGGCCCAGACCAGCCAACTTAAAAGTGGCTTACTTGGCAGAACATTGAAATTCGAATCCTTCGTAAACTTTATGCCATCCTAATACCCCTCCCCTTTATTTTTCATTTTCTCTCTTGGCTTCTTTCGGATTATGTATCTCTTTTCTTCTTTCTCTTTATAGATCTCCACCATATATAATCCCTCGACTTAGGAATATATATGCACATCTTCAAGAGAGAGAGAGAGAGAGAGAGCAAAAAAACCCAACGGGACAAATTAACCAAAAATATGAATTAATAGTAAAAGGGATCAAATGAGTAGTACCAAATGAGCAGAAAGTACAACTCATTTGTAGACAATCAAAATGTCACATTTATAGCAATCATTTTGACAGTTAGAAACTCACCTCACAGCAAGAGGACAGCGCTCTTTCAAGCAGACCAATGTTCTTTACCTGAAACTCAAAGTGTAAACCCATTAAGACAAAGCATATGGAACACAAGCAAAGGAATTATAGCACGTCAGATACAAAGTCAAATAGAATTAATCTGAGGAATAAAGAAAGAACTGAACTCAAACAGCTATCAGAAGTATAAATACACTCACTATTTTATCAACTTTTTATTGTGAAAATAGATAAGGATAGTATAAATAATAACACAATCCGTTGTAATCTCAGAGGATTTTACATTTGTATTTTGATATAACACAACTAAGGGTCTACCCCCTTAATTTAGAAAGCAGGAAAGCCTGTGCCGATAATTCACAAGATTTATGCATGAAAATAAACTTCACAAAGAAATGACGAAATAATTACATGTATCACAAAATGGAACGGTAATTTATCAATTTAAGAAATGAAAAGGTTTTGAAGGACCGAAGAAACACTCAAATACATCTTAAGAATAGCACGAACCTTACACGAACCCCTTCGAATCTGAGGGAGACAGAAATGAGAAAATCACCATCCTTGCCTTTGTCCCATATAAATGGGGTCAGCAAAAATGAGAAAATAATAACTAAAAATCCCCATTACATCCCTTTGTTAAGGGACCAAGAGAGAGAGAAAGAGAACAAAAAGAGAAGATGCCAACACTCCAGAACCTCCTTTATATGTTTTGGATATTACGAAAACTGCATTATATATATAATATAACATAAAAATAAAATAAACAGTATTATTTTTTTTCATAAAAAGAAAGTAAGAGCTTGTGAGTAACTTTTTCTAAAAAGAATAGACTGACTTCCATGATATTTTTGTACTTAGATATTTTTGTGTTGGCAACGTCCGAGCATGCATAACTTGTACAACTACCATGCAAATTGAATTTGCCTACTCCGGAATGTTATTTCTATGGAATTCCTTCATTTATTAGGAATAGAAAATAAAATTCAGCACAAGTTTAGAAAAATCTATCCCATACTTCTGAGTGTTTTCAAAGGCTTACCTAATGTGTCAGGAAAATATCATGAGCCGATGACAGTGTTTCTAGTTCATAATTTTCATATGATATTCCCATGTCTAAGCATGACAATTCATCTCGCATTGTCAACACGTAGAAACCTTGGGGCAGATGGGCAACTGAATACAAGCAAGCCCTTTTTCAAAAAATTCACAAGGTATTTCAGCAAAAAGACAAGGCTGCTCAGTTCTTCATGCCCCTTGCCATCAGGAACACATAGGAGAGTAACAGATTCATTAATTAGTGTAAAAGTAAAATCCATTGAAAAAATTAAGAATCTTTGAAAATACAGTGAAATGAGACGTGTGTGCTGACCACTTTGACAAACTATGCATTCTACAAGAGCTTAGAACCAAGTGCAACTATCTTGACCCAATCAACATAAAAAATTCCAGGTTCAAGCTTCAGCACTATCAGAGTGGTGAAAACATGTAACAATTCCTTTTGTCTATCCACTCAAAAGGGTACTATTCAAATTACAAGAGTAAAAATACAAGGCACGCCTTCTGAACATCTTATCTTCTAGGCCAAACCAAGAAATGGCATGCCTGTAACTACCAACTCTTTGAGGCAACAACCAAATGCTACTCCGCAAACAAAATAAAAACTAATAGGATGTATACCTTCCTGTTTTTTATCTTCAAACACTTTAAGCATAACATGCTTAACATCCGTTTCAATTCCCCAATATGAGAAGGATGATATATTGGAATCGGTAACTCAATATATCCAAAGTGGCCTGAAAGGAAAAAACCAAGAACTTTAGCAGTAATTCCTCAAAAGCATAAAAAGGTTATAATCATCTGTTCCACATACCTTTTTTCATTAAGATAAGAACTCAATCCTTTTACAAAATGACAAGGCAAAAAAGATGAAATTCTTACACACCTTCACATTGCCCTGGCTCAGCAGTACCACAAGATTCACATTTACCAGATTCAAGGGGCAGACCAAGAAAAGGATTTGAAAGCTGACTAGCATGGCTAATTGGCAAGTCGCTGTTGGAAGATGTACACTATAACAGAAAAAAGAACAAGGAAAAAAAGGGAATCATATGAATTTGTCAGTCAACTAAATCAGAACTAGGCATAAGATTCAAAACCATACTTTTAAATTTTAGCAGGCAAAACTTTAAGAACCTCTTCTCAATCGGAAGTGTTTTACAGTTTTTATGATAGTTTAATCACGGATCACACACCAAGGGCTGTGGCCTAGTGGTATCTCCTCTCATTTCAAAGTGAAAGGTAGAGGTTTTGAGTCTCCCTAAGAGCATTGTGGGATTCATTCGACAGTACAAAATATATATATATATATATATATATATATATATATATATATATATATATATATATATTCATGGTGCACATAATAATTGAAGGCTGATATTTTCTTTCAGAAAGAAGTGCACAAAATTCTTATAGAATCTGAAAGAATTCTTTGAACTCAACTATTGTAATAATTCCCTTCCAGCAACAAGGAAACATAATAAAATCTTTTACCAAGAAAAAGGAAATTTAAGATATAAAAATTGTTGCTAAGCAGTACATCAACCAAATTCCACATCACCCTCTGGGAAAACCTAATTACACTTGCATAAAATGCAGAAATGACAATCTTGTACTTACAATTTCTATAGGTGTTGCCAAACCAAATCTGATTCCAGTCAATAACCCGTCTGAAAGAGTGCAAGAGGGGTTCTCTTCCATGGCTCTCACAGCATACCATAAATCAAAACTGAAGTAAAATGCCATTTGAGAATAAAAAACAGTTAAATATACATAAAAATTTGCTTAGACTTTATGAAAAGGGACTTCAAACTGGTTTACTTCAAAATGACATTCAAATTCAGTCAAAAGAACAACAAAAAATAAATAAATAACATAAAATAAAATAAAAATTTAACAAAAAGATCAGAAGGTATCCTTAAGTTTTGCAAGATTCTGGTTCATGGGAATGCATAAGCAACACCAAACCCTATGTTTTCTCATTTTCCATAGAGAATCACATGTTATTTCTTTTACAAGAAAAAGATAAAAATAAAAAATAAAAATAAAAATTCCCGAAAAACATTAGGCTCAGTTTCCCCCAAATAATAAAAACCCTCTTATTTAAACTCGTGATTTCACTTCTTTCCCAAATTTTCACGGCAACCAAACGGACCACATTTTGACCCAAGTATAAGAATGGTCAACATTGCAACCTCATGCACAAAACAACATGCAAATACATAAAACCACCAAAAATCAAACAACAACACATACCAAAACGCTAGTTTATACAGATGAACAAACTATTAAGAAAAGAAGTCAAGAGACCCACTTAGCAACCACCACCAAATTAGATATATATACACATACATATAGAGAGAGAAACGCTGTAGCCCAGTAAAACCCTAATTTAACAGAAAATAACCATATATATCGATTCAAAACAACAAATGCGAACAACCTCAACCTGAAGTTAAAATGGAGAGAGAAACCCAAAAAATACCCAAAACGAGAAACCCTTTTCCAATTGAATAAACCCTTCGAGGAAATGTGAGAGAATGGCTCGAGACCACTACCTTTGTAGAGAGAGAAACAGTGACCCCTCCGACTTCCGGCCTTCAAGTCCGTCCTCTGTAGAGAGAGAAAGTAGAGAGAGAGACAGCAGAGAGTAGAGAGAGAAAATGGGTTCTTTTAGCTGTGCATGGAATGAGTGTGAGTGGTCACTTAATTTGTTTTTGGGTGCGTACCACTGAGACTCAGAGAGGTGTTGTTTGGGTTTTAACTTTAGGAACCGTACGGTTCTGAGATGATCAGACGGTTCTGAGGCATTGCATCGGCATATGTGGAAGGATTGGACGGCTCTCAGGTGATTCATAGGTGTGAAAGGATCGAACGGTTGCGAGGCGATGGATCTGGAGGATCAGACGGTGTTGCTTGACCACGTGGATCAAGGAATAATTAAATTTGGGGAGGGTAAAATAGGAATAACATTTATTTTTCTGAAACAGAGAGACATTTGGTGAAAACAATTTAAGCAACCCGCCTCGACGGTCTAAATTTAACCATGGTTGACTATTATCTCAGCCGTTTATCTGTTGGATATTGGGCCCCATTTGACATCGGCAGTGCGGATGCTGTCAATTTGTACAATCGGATTGTTCCTTGCAAAAGAAACATTTAAATAAAGTTCAGACTACTAACCAAAACAAAAATGAGACGTCAAACCAGTTTAGTTCAGCCTGATCCATTATGTGAATCTCTACTAATTTAATTTCTAATACATTTTTATTTTATAAAAAAAAAAAAAAAAATTAGTTATAAGTGAAATTACATTAATTTTAATGGTCTAAAAATTAATACGAATTGAGACTAACTCACCGAATGAATAATGATACATAATTCGATAGTTAAATAAATTAAATTAAAATTATGTGAGTAAGGGATAATTATATAAAACAATCCTATACATTTACAATTGTATCAATGGACCATTAGTCCAATGATATAATCTTCAATAGATGAAGAATTCAAGCCAAATACAAAAAATGTATATGTTAAAATAATAAATTGGAAAGCAGATATTGGCGCTTCACAATTAAAAAAATAAAATTATAAAAGAATCCCCACATCACATCATGTCTACTTTTTATATTTTCAAAACCGTGTTTGACCTCCTTATGGGACTGGTCTAATTCTATTTAAAATTTGCTATAATTCCAATTTCTTTAGAGATATATCTCAACCCTCCTCCTTGTGGGACTCTTCAAAGTTTACTTATTAAAAATATGATTCAGCTTATACTTAATCTGCATCTTAACATCACTTACATTGATAAGACTTTGAATGATTTTCTCAAAATATTAAGTGGGAGCAATCCTTTTTGAATAGTTCATGTCTGCACAACTCCTTTTTTTACCTTTCTTGGAATTCTAATTGATTCATGTTTTCTCTCATTTTCTTTCTTTTAGATTAAAATTTGACAAAAAAAAAAAAAAAAAAAAAAAAAAAAAAAAAAAAAAACTAGGCTTACGTATTCATTTTGATGGTTGATGGTTTTGAGTGAGTAAAAAGGTGTTTGTTGTGATATATATAAATATGTTGATGGTTTTGAGTGAGTAAAAAGGTGTTTGTTGTGATATATATAAATATAGGGAGCTATGTTTTAACCTTAAACTTAACCCTATGGTTATATATTCTCTATGGCAGCTTTTGCTAACAAGGTACTTGGAATAGAGTGACAAGTGGAACATAAGTATTGTAATTTCTGTTGCGGGGTAGAAAATTTTGGTTGCCCCGTTCCACCGTGTGCAACGGGCTCATTGCAATGAATTATTTTGGGAATGTCTCCGATGTTACAAGAAATTATGTATAGTTATTGCCCAATATATTTTTGTTTTGTGTGGGTAATAAATTATTTCGTCCCAATTTTACACTGGGCTAAAAAAATTAAAAATTATTAAGCTGTTTCTAAAAATTCAATCCGTAAAACCAATATGATATCCACAATTGGATTAAGGCTCTCACTGGATTAGGAACGAAAATAAATGCAACAAACAACAATTTTATTAAATATTAGGAAAAAATAATACAATTCTCTATTGGCGATTCTATTATAATTTAGAATCTCCTTCTGATTAAATCTCCTTCGAAAATCGGTACAAGGGTTTCGGAAACTTGATTTTGAACTGATGGTTGAATTTTGTTTGAGTTCTTCAAAGTTGAAGAAGACTCAAATAGATCTTTGAACGAAGGCCGACAGGGCTTGATATCGAACGGTGAGTGAAGGCTTTTGATGAAGAACGTCGTATATGTGGCACGCTTGTTGTTGTTGTTCTTCTTCAGAACTTCGGAGTTTTTGTTGAGTCAGAGTTTAGATGTCATATTCGTCTCTCTGTGTATCTCCTCCAAATGTGTAAGGTGACCTTGTATTTATAGGCCAAATAGTAGGAAATCCCTAATAATTGTGCGATTTTTTCATAAATAAGGGATCTGTTTCATTTCATATGGAAATCAATTCAAATTTGAATTAAAGTGTCATTTTCTTTAAAGACCTGGACCTTTAGGATTTTGATACGTATCCATTGATGGAACCCGTATTTATGGAATTTACCGATCTGACGGTGATTAGACAATCACAAATTTTAAGTGTCTACAAATTGCCCCCACTTCAAATCTTGGCAGCATACGTGCTTAGGGTTCTCCTTCCCATCAAACTGTTGTAACTTGGGGGGTTAGCATCCGACTGGTATTATCATGTTATCGATTCGTTTTATGTAAGGTTTCAAATACATGAGAAAAATGTGAGTTGCCCCGCCATATTGTGGCCCGATCGTGTTACTGATCATGTCTTAAACCTGTTGGACAAACAAAGAAGTGATGAAGGGAGCAAGGTTGGATTGGTTTACCCCCTGTTCATATGTTGTTGCACGGTGAGCCTTGTTCGCCATGGTTGCTTATGGCATGAAACCAGAAGGGTGCATGGGTCCTTGACTTGACTCGACAGAATTTTGTTCTTCAAGCTTATTCATTAATGAAGCAATCTGTAGGTATTTTTCTTCCACAGTCTTAGTGAGCTTCTCAATAGCACGTGCTATAGTCGTAAGTTGTTCCTTTACTGACGTTGTGTCAGTCATCATGACTTGCATGTGGGTTGACCGTGAAGAAGTCTGAGAATCAGCATATCTCGGTGAAGCCGAACCTTCCGGAGATATAGGGGATGAGGCTGAATATGAGCGCGTGCTTGAGTTGGAATCCGGAATGGATTGAGATAGATGCGATGACGTACTTTTCGAATAAAAGCCTTCCATACTAGCGAGGTCCTCCTCAGGGCTTGTGGCATTGATTTTCGTGGCTCTCAATTATTCAAGGGTTATGAACGGTTGAGCCTTTGCATTTGCAGGATTGGTGGAGTTGACACGCACCGTGTTTTGCTTTTGTGCCAAATAAGTGGCCGTTATCGCTTTACTACAGGTTGTTGGTCCCGTGGAGGTGTTGCTATCACTTGATGGAGCGACAGTGTTCTTGGCGGCCTTCAAGGTGAGAACCTTGTTGGTTGTTGTAACCCCGACATTTTTACCAGCATTCTTCGAGCCATGAGCGATTTGAATCTTCTTGGAGGCCATTGATTTGAGAAAGAAAAAATGTTAATGAGTGACTAAGGAGATAAAGATGAGGGCATAGAGGTCCCACCGGGCGTGACATAAATTTGTACACACAAATTTTGTATCCGGAAATCCAGGAATGAAAATAAATGCAACAAACAATTATTTTATTAAATATCAGGAAAAATGAATATAATTTTTCTCTATTGGCGATTCTTTTACAATCTATAATCTCCTTCAGAAATTGGTACAAGAGCTTTAAAAGCTTGATCTTAAACCGGTGGTTGAACTTTGTTCTAGTTTTTCAAAGTTGAAGAAGGCTCAAATGAATATTTGAACGAGGATCGGTGGGGCTTGATCTCGAACTGTGGGTGAAGGCCTTTGACGAAGAATGGCGTAAGTATGGCACGTTTGTTGTTGTTGTTCTTCAAAAACTTCGGAATTTTTTTTGAGTCAGAGCTTCAATGTTTTGTTCGTCTCTTTATGTATCTCCTCCAAATGTGTAAGGTGGCTTTATATTTATAGGCCAAAAAAACGGGTCGTTTAATTTTAAAACTACCTAATAATTGTGCAATTTTTTCATAAATAAGGAACTTAATTATTTTTATATGGAAATCAATTCAAATTTGAATTAAACCACCATTTTCTTTAAAGGCTTGGACCTTTAGGATTTTGACACGTGTCCATTGATGGGACCCGTATTTATGAAATTAATTAATCAATAATATTTGACTTCTTGGCCGATCAAACGGTGATTAAACCATCACAAATTTTAAGTGTTTACAATATTCCCATGTCTCAGATGTTGCAAGGAATTATGTGAAATTGTTGCCCAATTTAGTTTGTTTTGTGTGGGTAATAAATTATTTCATCTTAATTTTACACTGGGCTAAAAAAAATTTAAAATTATTAAGTTGTTTTTAAAAATTCAATCCATAAAACCAATATGATATTCCACGGATTCGATTAAGGCTCTCATTGGATTCAATTTTTATCAATCCATTCAATCGGATTGGATTTGATTTTATGCCTAACCCCATGCTAATGAACCCATATGTGTGTGTGTGTATATATGTATATATATATATATATATGATCCTGTGCGGTTTACACCCCTATAATATCAATATAGTGCATACAACCCCCCGTTGTTTGTTTACCTCCCCTATACATTAAAAATGGTGTGGATTAGTGCCTTTTGGCCGTTAACCTTTATTGACCGGTATCGGAGCTATAAAAAGACTAAAATAACCCTCTATTTATGATTTAAAAATGATAATAAAATAACATAAAATAGGAAAAGACAAAGAAACCTTTTGTCAATACCAAGTTGTTTCAAGTTAGGGCATATTACTTGCACTTTCTCTCTCAAATAGATAGATTAATAGAATAATTTATTTCCCAAAATAGCGGAGGATGGAAGAAGGGCAGCAGTTGAAAGAGGAAGAAGGGCAGCAGTTGAACATGACGGTTAGGTAATTAAGATTTTATCGTTATCTACTTTTATAATTTATCGAAGATCAAAAAAATTTTATCTTTATCCATTTCTCCAATTTATCTAAGATTAAATCAAAACACTGAGATAGGGAAAAGAGAGATTAGGGTTATATATATATATGGTGAAGGATAGTAAAGAAATATAAGAAGGGTAATTTTGAAAATAAAGGGTTTAAAATGGTTATGTGTATGGCAGATGACCAACTGACGTTCAATTTTCACCGAAATTCTAACCGGATGTGCTTAGATGCACGTTTTCATATCTTGTATGAATTTATATAAACAAATTAAAGTACTGGAGTGTAATTCGCACATATTTAAAATTATGGAGTGTTTTTTTAGACTTTTCCATATATATATATATATATATATATATATATTTTGTGTAACTACTTATTGTGTTTAATTAAAACAAAAATGATGATAAATATAGAATTAAAAAATTTTGGAGAAAAAAATGTAAAAAATTTGAATCCCAATAAATTTGTGCTTTTTGAACAACAATTAGAATTAAATATTATTGGAACTAGTGGCGTGTTTTATACAGTTCACCACATTTGAATGTGTAAAGCTTGTGTGACGTGGCCATAGGTCTATTCAGTGCAAATTACTACTATGCACATCACAATTAACATTTATTTAATTTGGTCATAAGAAAAATAATTACATTTCAGAAAGAATTTTAGGCCTTTTTTAAAAATTTATTTGCATTGCCAAAATTAATTTATTATTGATCGCCGTCTTGTTCTACTAATACTTCAGGTCACCATAGTATATAGTAGGCTGCTGAAAAAAAACCTACGAAAATTTGAAAAAAAAAAAAGTTGTATTTTTAATAGTAGTGTCCCTATTTTTTCCCGGTAATTTATTGTCCCTATTTGAGTGAACTTGACAATGTTTTTAATAATAATCATTTGTAATTGTGAACCTCCTTTATTTATTTATTATTATTACATTTTTTGAAACAATAGTGACATATAGAGTCTATACACGGAGTTGGTCGATATTAATTATATACATTTATGATTCTTTATATTTTTATATATACATTACTTATGATTGTGGTAAGATTATTCAATAAATATACTCCCTCCATCCCTTATTAGTAATCTATTTTTCCCTTTTTACATGTCCCAAATTAGTTGTCCTCTTTAAAAAGTCAAAGCATCTTTTCATTATATTTCCATCATTATCCTTTATCTTTTTAAAAAAATTCAAACTTTAGTGTTATATATATTTATAGTTTGAAGGACAATTTAGTAATTTAAAAAGGAGACAATGCATTAATTGTATGTCCACTTAAAAAGTTATAAAATTAAAGATGGACAACTAATAAGAGATGAAGATAGTATATAAATGCCATGCAATTAGGCGGAGCTAGGAATTCATTTCAGAGGTGCCGTAACAAGTCCAAAAATAGTAGTTTAACAGTGTAATAGTTAAAATTAATATATTATTTAATATTTCAAAAAACAATTTTTGAAAAAAAAAAAAAAACTGAAACACCAAATACGACATTAAAAGGTTTTCTTGGGCGAAAATATTTATTTTGCATTTTAAATTTCATATGAAGCAGAAATGGTAACTCCTTTCCATTTATTATTTTTTTGCAGTGTGATTTATTTTGAAAAAAAATATATGTTTGGTAACTAATTTGTTACAAAAAAATATATATATATATATATTGAACTTAGTCTAAAAATAAAACCAGCTTCTAATTTTAGCCAAGGCTCCATTCATTTTAGGCTGGGTTTGTTTGGATATAAAATATATATTTTTTATTTTTTAATGTTTGATTGTCGTAAAATATTTACCAAGAAAAAAAAATTAAAACTTAATAAAAATAAAATACCCATCAATTTTTCAACAAGTTATTTTACAAGTCCTTGATAGACTCGACCTCAATCTTGACTTGGACCTTTGTCAAACATTAAAAAATAAAATAAAAAATATATATTTTATCTGAAGGTGTAAAATATTTTTCCCAACCTTAATGTATATTTCAAAAGACATTTTGCTATTTTCCCAATATTTGGTTGCACCAATGCACGTACAACAGTAAGAAAAAAAAAAAGAAAAAAAAAAGAAGGTTTTACATTAAATATATTATACCATAAAAATGTTTTACATAGAATAAATGGAGCAAAAGGACTAAAATTGTGGAAGAGTAAATGGTTATGGTTTGGATACGCACGCCATGCACGTGCAAGCACACAAATCTTTTTTTTGGTGAAAAAAAAAATCAAGGTTGAAATGAAGAAAATCTAATGAAATAAAAATCTGAGGATGAAAACTTTTTTATTCACAAGGCAATTGAAAAGAAATAAAATAAAATCAGTCCAAGCACATAAATTTTGCAAATAGATTACTTTGTTTATCTAAATTGTTCCTTACACTCTCCTACATTTTCAATCCAAAATTTAATTCAGTATAATTTAAAATCAAATTTACTGCATTTCCTTTCTTGTAATTTGATTTGTGTTATGTGAAATCAAGTTGTGTAATTGTTTCAAAATAACAAGGCCAATTAATTGATTTATGCCCATCCAAATTGGTATCAAATTTGACAATCTCATTAAATGTACATGAACTTTTTTTAAATTCATACCTAAATTAAAAATTATAAGAGAGGCCGTTAGTTGAAAGAATGGTAAAATATTGGAGTTGAATGCATATATTTGATTTCGATAGCAAAATCATTCTTATTTAATTAAAAAAAAAAAAATTATATATCAATTCTCAAAGGTCTGAATGAAATGAATGTGTAAAAAGTTGAACTTGTGCATGTTTTTGTTGCAAGAAAAAGGAAAAAATAGATTTGGTCACAAATAAAATTTCCACACTCTTTTTAATTTTAAGCACAAGGAAGTGTCATATTTTTTTTTTTTTTCCTTGCTACCGGCATAAAAAGTTATAAAATAAATTTAATTTACTTATAAAGAATAGTCATAAGTTCTCTTTATTTAACTATTGGATTATAATAATTTTTTGAAATATGCGAAAAGTGAAATGAATTATTTTTGAACAGTTTTCTTTTATTAGAACATAGAACTTTTATCAGAATTACAAATCAAGCAAGCCATGTTTTCAATTTTATTAAAATTGTACAACAAAAAACTCAAAATTCAGTTTGTTTTTTTTTTTTTTTTTTTTTCAGATTACTGCCTGTTATATTTTTCTGAAAACAATTTTTTTGTTATCTTGAAAACTGGTCTCAGAATTACAAACCAAGTAAGACATGTTTTCAATTTTATTAAAATTGTACAAAAAATTCAAAATTCAGTTATAAGAAGGGTTTTTTTTCTAGATAACTGTAAAATCTGAAAACAGTTTTGTTGTTATATTGAGAACTATTTTCAAAATTATAAACTAAGTACACTTTAGTGTATATTTCAAATTTATAAAAATCAATGATATGCTTGATTTGTAATTTTGAAAATAATTTTAAAAAATTAAGAGAATAAAAAATAATTTTTAAAGAATAATAAAAATTAATTCTTTAAAAATAATTTTTTTTATAACTAACTAAAAAAAAAAAATTTATTTTTATAATTACAAATCACACAAACTCAAATTTTTATAACAAAGAAGGCTTCGTAACTCTTCTCAGGAGAGTCAGAAACATTATTCTTACCCTTATATGAAAGTCCAGCTGACGTGAAAGCCAAAATGTTTGGATAGACTCCAAGTGGATGAGATAACTTCTTTGGATAACTCTCCTGTGGGAGAAGTCTTTTCTAGGTAGGCACAACGACCAACACTATTAAGGAGCCTATTTTTAGTGGAGAGGCCAAAGGAACCAATATAATAGGGGGACACAACTATTAAGGTCTCCTATAAAAGGAGCAGTCCGTCAACCCATAAAGTATTCCACAATTTTTTACTAATTGTATTTTCAATTGTCTATTAAAATATATATATATATATATTTTTTTGTAAAATATACATTATCATTTACAATATGTAATTTTTTTTTATTTCTAACAATTTGTTAAGATACATTATCATATCACCAATGTGTGAAAATGTTATATATTTTACATAACTTTTTTACACTATAAGGTTAACATATTTCCTTTCTCATTCCTCTTTGTCATTCATTTAAATAATCAACCATATATTAAGTAGGTTTGTAAAAGTTATGAGGGGTTTTCGCATGACACATGGTTGATTGTTATTGGGAGATATATTTTTACATAAAAAATATAAAACAATAGAGTTAAAATTAAATAATTTAAATTTTTTTGTGTAAATTTATCATGACAAATCAGATTTATACAAATTTTTTTTTTATTATTTTTTTGTGTAAATTAAAGATGTTATAAGGTGTCTTTTTCTTTCTTTTTTATTGTTCACTTTAACATTGTAGTGTACTCGGTCGACACTACACTAATCATTCCTGAGACGTTTGCTCCACCCGATCATGGATAGGGAGGGATCAATCATCCCACGGTTCCCACCAAACCAAATTTGTTTGTGGTAATAACTAAGTCATCAATTCTATCATTTTTCTGTAAAAATATCAGCCTTGGACATCAAAATCAGGTTTATTTTTATACTATAATACGCTCGCATTATAATTTACATGCACTTACCAATTTTGTAACCAACGAGTTCGCCAACTCACACATTCAATAATTTACGGTAAGATAGCTTTACATAGTCTTGTTTTTTTATTTTAATTTTTTTTATTTAGTAATAAGACTCAAAACTGGTAGGCACGTGCATGAGATCTTCCCGTACAGCTCCAACTGTAGATAAAGAGTCAATAAAATATTTTTAGAAAGTGCTATCATTATATAAAATTCAAAATTCAAAAAAGAAACTAAAAAAAGAAGCTTCGTTGCATCTTCTTCGATTTGAAGATCAACCTAGAAGATCCTGGAGATTCTGATTCATATCTGATTTGATCTTGTTTTCCTATATATGAGATATGGGTCATCATATAAAATCTCCAAAAGCATCCACAACCCCTCATTCCAAGTCTCCTATTGTCGTTTCACTGTTGGGTCGTGTTTGGTTGGTTGATTATTATTTTCAATGGGTTGTGTGGCCAAAGATGCACAGTTCCATGTTCTAGCAGTTGATGATAGCTTGATAGACCGAAAATTGATTGAGAGGCTCCTCAAAACATCTTCTTATCGAGGTAATTTGATCCTTTATACATATACATATACATATACATATACATATGCTTGCACAAAAACTTGTTTAGGGAAACTCTTTCAGGGGGAGTTTTTTTCTGTGTTCTTATATATATATATATATATTTTTTTTTTTCCTTCATAAAACTGAACCAAACATGGCCTTATTTTTTTCCTTGAGAAATTTTAGCTTTTGGATTAAATTTTATTGGATTTTGATTGTTATTTCTTCTGGGTATTTTTTATTATCACAGTTACTGCTTTGGATTCTGGAAATAAGGCTTTGGAGTTTTTGGGTTTGCAATATGATGATGAACAGAGAGATCCAACCTCTGTTATCCCAAACAATCATACTCAAGTACGGATTTTAATTTCTTTCCTGGGTTCTCTGGTAATCAAATATATATATATATATATATATAATTGATCTATGCGCTTTATTTGTTATCGCAGGAAGTGGAAATAAGTTTGATTATTACAGATTATTGTATGCCTGGAATGACTGGCTATGATCTCCTAAGAAAGATCAAGGTGTGTTAATAGATCTGAATTAAATCTCTTACTATTAATGATATGAATTTAAAAGTTTTATGTTTATGGAGCATAAATCCATATTAATTCCCAAATTCAAGCAACCTTCATTAATTTCAAATTATTTAATCAACTTATTTATTTGTCAGACAAGCTCAAATTTTACTAATTTTGGCAAAGTGTTATGTTGAATTGGTTTCCAAATCACTCAACTTAGATTAATTTTTATGTTATTTTACAGGAGTCTACATCTATGAGAGATGTACCAGTTGTGATCATGTCTTCTGAGAATGTCCCTTCAAGGATTAACAGGTAAGGAAATTTATATAGGATTATAACTTAGTTTTCTTTATGGTGTTTTATAGTTTCTAAAAGCAGTTTCCTATTTTTTAAGGGGTTGTTTGGTACATTTTTTGTTTTTAGTGTTTTTGTTTTTGTCGAGTATTGTATCATTGAACAGTGAAAATAATAGCGCTTGGTAAAAAAATATTTTTTTTTGTACAGTACCGTGAATAGTTATCAAAAATTGAAAGGGTATGGTACTCTCAAATGGCTACTCTGAAAAAAATGACATTTATAAAATAGTTGCAACACTTTTTTACCAAATACATGTTTTTTATATTTTTGTTTTTAAATTTTTTTACAATAAATAGACATTATCAAATATGCTTTCAAATTTTATTCAAAACACCATACAACAAAGCGCGTACTAAATTTGGTTGAATGTGCAAAATTTCTTTACCATTTGATGCTGATCTGAGATTACTTTTGTGGGTATTGGTCAGATGCTTGGAAGGAGGGGCAGAAGAGTTCTTTTTGAAGCCAGTTCAATTATCAGATGTGAATAAGCTTAGACCTCATCTCATGAGGGAAAAGACTAAGGAACAACTACCAAACAATGACATGGAAGATCTCATTTCAAATGATAGAACAAGACACAATGACTTGGAAATGGCTTAACAACATACACACACACACACATATATATGAATGTATATATATAATTTTCATTAGTGCAAAAGAAGTTTCAATAGCATTTTTAAGAGATTGTTAGACTCATTGAGAGATTATTTGTTTGTAAATTTACAAAATATAGAATTCATATCAATTTTGTTGGCTGATAAATTGCATATCAATTTCCTTTGGCTAGATTACTTTTATTTAGATAGTGGAATTTTCTCGCCTTAACGGTCAATGACTTCAATTCTCATAGGAGGAATTCGGGAGTGGAAATTTATTTTATTTTTATTTATTTATCAAGTTTGTGATGATATCATTAAAAGCATGAAAAATAAATGGATCTAAGCTTGATTTACAAATGGCAATGGAGCCATTAATTATTTGTAAAACATAATTATTTTCAAACGCAAAATGTCCATCTGCCTAGGTTAATGTAGAGAATTTAGAGTCATTGTTGTTATTTTTTTTTGTCCCCCATAAGTTAAAAATTTACACGTTATTTACGTGTCTAATGATGATTGACACGTGAGGGTCAGATCAATAATTTTGAAATCATATAATAACTTCTCCTTTCTTATCTAATTATGAAGTGACCCAAACGACCATCCCCCTACATGCAAAAACATAAAGAAGAAGGGGTCAAAGTATAAATATTCTCTTTGTTGCACTTACTCGTGTATTTGTGGAGGCTGGAGAGTCATCGTGTGATTGGTCACATCAATTTCATTGTGAAAGACACTTATAATAAATTTACCATTCAGTGCCATTGTGCCCTCACTAGGTGTAAATTTTTATAGAGTTTATACAACATTGTGATAGTAAATATTAAAAGAAAAAATTGAATATATGTGATTGGTCATCAGTTTTGTGAAATTAAAGTGGATATAAAAGAAGTAAAGTGCTGGGACGCGTTCATCAATTTTGTAAAATATTACAATTCTTATCATTGTGAAAAAATATATATATTTAGCTTCATTTTCACAATAAAGGTACTTAAACTATTCTAAAGAATAAGGACTGTGTAGAGACAGTTGGGCATTTATCAATGTAATTAAAAAAATAAATCATATATCAATTCTCAAAGATTTGGATGAAATGAAGGTGTAAAAGTTAAACTTGTGCATGTTTTTGTTACAAGAAAAAGGAAAAAATTGATTTGGTCACAAATAAAATTTCCAACTTTTTTTAATTTTAAGCACAATGAAGTGTCAAAAAAAAAATATTTTTTTTTCTTGGTACAAGCGTAAAAAGTTATAAAAGAAATTTAATTTACCTATTGAGAATAATAACGAGTTCTTTTTATTTAATTATTAAATTACAATAATTTTTTGAAATATGGGAAAAATGAGATGAATTATTTAATGCATCTTTCAAATTTCTAAGATTAGGCAAATTTCTAAGATTAGGGAGACTTTATGATTCTTCTCACGAGAGTCATTTTAGGAGCATTACGCTTACCGTTATATGAAAATCCAACTGGCGTGAAAGCACAAAGAGTTTGAATGGACCACAAGTGGATGAGTTAACTTCTTTGGATAACTCTCCTGTGCGGAGAAGTCTATGGGAATCAATTTTCTAGGTAGGCTAATGTTATAAGGGGTCATGCGTCATACATCGGATTCGGATAGAAAAATGATTGGGTATAAATGGATGGGTATGTAGTACCCAACAGTTTGAACTTTTGGTAAATGGGTAAGTACTCATCCGTTTCAGTTGACAGCGCAGAAGGCGTTCAGGTGAGCCACCTCGAGTAGGCAGGGTGGCTCAACCTCAACGAGAGCGTTGTGAGTTCGGTCTCACCTCGAATAGGCAGGATGCCTCGACCGCAACAAGAGCATTGCGAGTTCGGGTGAGTCCCAAATCAGATCTGAGAAAATGATTAGGTATAAATAGGTAAGTGTAGCATTGCCCAGCGCTCGTCCCTTTAAACTATCAAAGCTATTAAAGGAGCCTATTCTTAGTCGAGAAGCCACATATTCCAGGTGGACACAACTATTAAGGCCCCAATAAAAGGAGGAGTCCGTTAACTCGTAAAGTCTCACATCGTTCTCGTTCTCCTGAAGTGTCTTTTCATTTTGCCTTGCGTCTACTTTATAGTGCACTATACTAATAATTCCGGAATTAGTAGTCTTATAAGACCTCCATCTTCAAGACGTCAAACCTTATTGTGGTCAATTCTATGATTTTTCTTTCAAAATATGAGTTCGGACTTGGAGATCAAAATCGGGGACAAATTCAGAAAACTGTACTATTTTGGAGGGAGAGGGCAACATTACAATGTTTTAGTAATTTGAGTGGAGAGAATAGTTAGATTTTATAAGTACATATATTAAAATGAAAAACATAAGAGGAATATATACTATAAAATAAAAAAAATCAGTGGGGACAATTGGTTGCTTGCCCCAGAGTTACCAACAGAACCGAGCCTAATCAAAACATAAATATATATTCGAATTTTAATTGAAAATGTTATAATAGGTAAAGCTGGTGAACTGTGTCATTTTCTTTAAATTTCTTTAAATCATGGAATACGTGTAGTATATCGTTTTACATGCACTGGCCAATTTTGTAATGAACCAGTTCGCCAACTCACATTCAATAATTTACGGTAAGATGGCTTTACATAGTCTTATTTTTTTATTTAAATTTTTTTTTTAGTAATAAGCCTCAAAACTGGTAGGCACGTGCATGAGATCTTCCCCGTACAGCTCCAACTTAAGATAAACAGCCAATAAAATATTTTTAGAAAGTCCTGTAATTATATAAAATTCAAAACAAAAAATACTAAAAAAAAAGAAGCTTCATTGCTTCTTCTCCAATTTGAAGATCAACCTAGAAGATCCTGGAGATTCTGATTCATATCTGGACTGATCTTATTTTCCATACAATCAACCGTATCTCATACACACACACATATATATATATTTGCAATTCTGCCCCTAATGGGTCCTCATATAAACTCTCCAAAAGCATCCACAACCCCTCATTCCAAGTCTCCTATTGTTTGTTCTCTGTTGGGTCGTGTTTGGTTGGTTCATTATTATTTTCAATGGGTTGTGTTGCCAGAGATGCACAGTTCCATGTTCTAGCAGTTGATGATAGCTTGATAGACAGAAAATTGATTGAGAGGCTCCTCAAAACCTCTTCTTATCAAGGTATTTTGATGCTTTATATATGTTTGATTCAGTATTTTTTTTTTAGAACAGTTCTCTATTTTTGAAGAGCAGAAAATTGTACAGAAACTTGTTTGGGGAAACTCTTCTAGAGAAAGTCTTTTCTGAGTTATTGAGAGATCCAAACAGACCCTTATTAATTTTATTTGATTTTTTACTGTTATTTCTTCTGGGTATATATATATATATATATATTTATCACAGTTACTGCTTTGGATTCTGGAAGTAAGGCTTTGGAGTTTTTGGGTTTGCAATATGATGATGAACAGAGAGATCCAACCTCTGTTATCCCAAACAATCATAGTCAAGTATAAATTTTAATTTCTTTCTTGGGTTCTTTAGTAATTATATATATATATATACTCTTAGAATTTTTATTGATGTATATGCTCTGTTTGTTATTGCAGGAAGTGGAAATAAGTTTGATAATTACAGATTATTGTATGCCTGGGATGACTGGCTATGATCTCCTAAGAAAGATCAAGGTGTGTTAATTGATCTATATTTTCAAATTATTTAATCTAACTTATTTATTATCTGACTTGATCAAATTTTACTGATTTTGACAAAATATATATCTGACAAGATTTCATGTGAATAGTTTGTAAAATAAATTAATTCATTATTAAACTGGTCACAAGTGATGAGTTGAATTTTATTTTAATAAAAAAGTATAATAAAACTTATTTTCTTGATTTTATTGCCCATTCATGGATATGAATTTCTCTTTGAAAGGCTATGTTTAATTAGTATCCAAACCTAAGTCACATAGAGCAGGGGCTGAAGTGACAGTGCCAAAGCGGTATATCCCAAAAAATCTTAGAGCGGGAGCGCCGCATTATAAATATATAAAATATTAATTTATAATAATAAATATATGTTTTAAATAAATTTCATGCAAATAAAAAGACAGGATAGTGAATCAAATATGTATAATCAATATAACCTACTTTATAAAAATGCATAAATTAACAAACATGACAATCAAATAAGTTGCTTTATAAAAATAAAAACATAACAGTGAATAGGGCATAACAGAAAAAGAAATATTCAAAAGTATTGTCTTTTATACATTTAACCTGCTTTAAGCTCTCAAGATGACAATCATTGTCTTTGAAATAACAATGTTCAAAAGCAAAAGATTATCTAAACTTTAAAATAGATATGAAATATCCAAACTTTCAAACCCAAAAGTTAATGAAAGTAAGTTACGTAAGTATTATCTAATGAAGGTAAGTTACTTAAGTATTATTAAATATTAAGTATATTGTTATATAACTTATATTATTTAATTTTTATCTATAAAGGACAGAGTTTACTTAATTAAATTAAATTAATTACTTTTTGACATAATTAATCTTATTTGGTCTATTTAAATTAGGGGTAAAATCAAAATTTCTCAAGATTCACACTAAATTCATAAATTTATTGTCAAAAGTAGTCGAATTCTTGAACAAAATACGCGATTTTACTTTACATAATTCATAGAATTAAATTTAAAAAACCGGCGAATTCTTAAATTGAATTCGCGAATTCAAAATTATGAATTCGCGAATTCAAAAATATGAGAGCGTGAAATTTTTACGAATTCGTTCTCAAAACGCCAATTCGGGCACGGAGCGATGGAGCTCCAGTGATTTGAGCGAATTATGTGACTTAGATTCAAACAACTGAACTTGTATATATATATTTAAATATATTCATGTTATTTTACAGGAGTCCGCATCTATGAGAGATGTACCAGTTGTGATCATGTCTTCAGAGAATGTCCCTTCAAGGATTAACAGGTAACGAAATTTATATAGGATTGGAAGTAAGGCTTTGTTTGGTTTAAAGATATAGGTGGAAAAGAAAAATGAACAATTTATGCCACTTCGAAGTTTCTAAGAACTTAAAATCAAAATATTGTGCACATTATTTGTTAGGTCCTGTTTGGTTCACATTTTGTTTTAATCCGAAACAAAACAAGAATCGGAACATGTTTGGTTTTGAAAAATATGATGGTCAGTTTAAAAATGTTAATTAAGAGTTTTTTAATAATTTTTTTACTGTTTGTCTATAGTGTTGAAACACGGAAAAAGGTCAAATTGCTATTTCAATTTTTGGCCACTCTATTCACAAGACGTTTCGGCACTGTGCAAAAGAAAACACATTTTATCAAATACATTTTTTCACAAAACTAAAAACACCCAAAACAAAACTCGTACTAAACAGGATATAGAAACTGTATTTTATAGTTTTTAAAAATAGTTTTCTATTTTTTAAGTTAAAATAATGTGAATTGTTTTAAGAAAACTAAACCAAACATGACCTTCACTTTTCCTAATATGGTTGAATGTGCAAAATTTCTTAACAATACTTTTGTGGGTATTGGTCAGATGCTTGGAAGGAGGAGCAGAAGAGTTCTTTTTGAAACCAGTTCAATTATCAGATGTGAATAAGCTTAGACCCCATCTCATGAGGGAAAAGGCTAAGGAACAACAACCCAACAATGACACAAGGAATGACATGGAAGATCTCATTTCAAATGATAGAACAAGACACAATGACTTGGAAATGGCTTAACAATGTATGTATAATTTTCATCAGTGCAAAAGAAGTTGCAACAGCATTTTTAAGAGATTGGTAAGACTCATAGAGAGAGATTATGTGTTTGTAAATTTACAAAATATAGAATTCATATCGTGTATGTAAATTTACAAAATATAGAATTCATATCGTGTATGTAAATTTACAAAATATAGAATTCATATCAATTTTGTCGGCTGATTAAATTGCATATCAATCTCCTTGGGGTTAATTGCAAAAAAACTCCATTGTTATATACAAAATGTGCAAGAAATTCTCTTATTAAATAATAAGTGCATATAAATTCTTATATTTTCAAAATTTGGAGCAAATTGCCCCTTATTTGTTAATTTTGACCAATTTTTATAAAAAAATCCCAAAATGCGCTCATTACAAATGTCAGCAAAAAAAATTATAATTAAATATGCCATAGGCCTCAATTTACTCTCTGTGTGTAATATATATATATATATATATATATATCACCTTCATCCCTCTTCCTAATTCCCCACCCACTGCCGCCACCTCCCCCACCACTACAACCACCACCATGAACATAATCCCATGAACACTACCCAACCCTCCACCACCCACCTCCACCTCCACGCCACTGCCCATTGTTACTCCTTTGAGACTTTTTTGTGGTGGGTTTGCCCACGACCTCTGCTATCCTCTGTTACACCTTCTTGATTCCATATATTATACAAATATAAAGGGAAAGATCCGGGAAAGCATCCACAAAAATAACTGTATCCAATTAAAATTTATAATTAGCATATCTCATTTTCCTTCCAAACAAACACTTTCCTAGCACAAATTCATCCACCAATGGTTCTTTCCTTCATATTCATTTATTCTGTTTTACTCATCTTCACCTTCTTCTTCTTCGCTCACATATTTCAACCAGACACTTCAAGAAACATCCTACCGAGCTCATTGTTAGGATTTATATGCACTAGCACAGTAAATTCCTATTTGGATTATAGTGACATATGTTCTCGACATTTCTGAAATATTTATGTTTGATATAATTGGTGAATTCAATGTATTATGTTTTGATTCACTATAAAATTGATAATGTCCATTTGATTACAAGAGATATTTATATATATGTATGTGATAGCAATCAATGCATAATATATAAATAGTAATTATAAATGGTTCATAGTCGATAATTATGGATGGACTCATAATTAATTAAGACTTGAACTGGATCCGCGTTAGGTTGAGATATATTGCGAGAGCCGTCGTATGCAATTGCTCCCTATCATTATCATGACATTTGACTCTTAAGTATGAGAAAAGTATAAACTCTTTTATTCATTAATAATTACATTGATTTGTTCGGCGGATACTTCGGAATCCTTAGACTGACACTTTGGGTAGTTATATAATTAATAGTTAGAGGGTTATATTTTCAATATTTGCATCGTTGCTTCTTGTATTTATTTTGTATTGATTATGGTTGATCACAAAGTAAATTCGAAGGCCTTCGTGTATTTTTAGACAAAATGATTTATTATATATTTATTTATTTAAATTATTATTTTTGTCAAACAAATGTTTTATTGTGATCGAGCCAGAAATAATTAAAGGTACCAAAATAAATATATTAATTAAGTAGTCGGATTGATGGATATATTTATCCGATAACTAATTATGCATAGAGGGGTCAAAGTGCAACATTGACTTAGAAGTTATTTATTATTTAATTGAAGTTCAATTAATTTTTTTTAATGGAGTAGAAATTAATTTATGAATTAATTGAATTGGGTCCATGGACCGAGCCAATTATTAATTCATTGTAACCAATAAAATAATAAATCCAAATGATTCTCACCCATAGCCTAACTTGATATTGGAATCCTATTAGATTTGAGACATGTGAATTAGATATTGAGAATGATTTATTGTTTCCTTTTCTTTATCTTTATGTAGCCTATATATATACATGGTCTATGTATATTTTAGGCATGATTTTTTGGAAAAAAAAAAGAATATATTTTCTCTCTCTAGAAAATTAGGGTTAGTGTTCTCATCTAATAGAGGCTCCCACAAGCTTATTTTTTCAAGGTCGTTTATGGAGGCTTATGAGTGATTCCTAAAGGTAAAACAATTACTAAGAAGATGGAGATTCAAGGAGAAGGTATCTTGCTAAGGGATCTACAATAAGTGAGAACATTCACTTTAGAGGAAAGATTTAAAAGTTTACTCAGACCTTTGATGTAAGTATTCAATCTGTTAATTGAATGATACATCATATTTTATTTTTGCATAAAACATGTCTCTATGTGATGAATCAAGATTTATGAATCAAAATCCATTGAAAAGTTTTTAAAACTAGCACGTTTCCCAACAGTGATATCAGAGCATGATTTGATTCATTGCTAGAGATCATGTTTTTATCAAAATTCATCATTCATGGATCCAATTTTGATATGCATATATTTATTTATTGATGTATGTTGATGTATGAATTAATATATTGATATATATTGATACATGATGTGTATGTATAATTGTGAATGGATGATGATGTGTGGTTGGGCCATGGATGAAGCTTATAGATTAATTGATTGTAATTTTATCTTTAGATGAATGTAATTAAGGCTTTGGTTCAGCCGTTTGAAAGTTCAATGATGTAATTTAATTTTTTCCATTGTATTTCAAATTATAAATTTATTTAAAGTCATGTAATCTTCATCAAAGGATGTTATGAAGCTTTAAGAAGGTCCAAAATGGTTAAATTAGGTTTCAGGAATTTTTCCAGAATTTTACTGGAATTTTTTGGGCTTAAATTTAATTTCTGGAATTTTTTAAATTAATTTCTGAAATTTTCTGTGGTTTTCTGGCGACAGGAGGACTGCCGGCGGCAAAGCAGCGCTGGAAGGGTGGCCGTCCAATCCCGTGTGGCGTAGGACAGCAGGACTCTGTGCAATCTCAACAAAAGCCCTTGGATTGCATTAGATCAGAGGGAAGGATCAAGTGAGGCACAAACGCGGTGCAATCATGCACCATCAACCAGTTGGCGCGTGTTCGTCACGCCAGTCACTTTCAGCGAACCAGGCGCGTGGCAGCGCGTGCCACGCACGTGGGTGCGCGTGAAGACACCTGCTGAACGCGTGTGGGCGCGTGGGGGAAAGTGAAGGGTGCGTTTGAACGTGTTTTGACTTCTACAGGTGCGTAGGACGTTTCAGTGGACCCTCGCGCAATAATTAGAACATTTAAATGTTAAAAGCTAAATCCATTTGCCATTTTTATTTGTTTTATTTGTGATTCATGGATGTATGTGATACATGGACTAGATAATTATTTTTTAATTATTAATCATGCGTTGGATCCATGATATTTTTTTAAATGACTTGATTTATATTAATAAAATTATGAAAATGAATTGGATTTGATTACTAATTAATTAGAGGGCACTAAAGGGGAAACGAAAAATTATTTTTTGTAAATTATTTTTTAAAGTGTGCTTTAAATTTAATATTAATGAATCATTTAAAAGTCCAGATATTTTCTAAATTTAATTGGATTAAAATCAAGGCGTTTTGCATGCATTATATCATGTAAATGAATAAATTAAAAACCTTAATTATGAACGATTAAAAATTGAGCGGGAGCGGGGATTTTTATACATTACCCCATGGCCTTCGTTATTAAAACCATTGTAATTAGATCTTAAAAAATAAGGCCCCACGCATGATTTGAAGAGTCTTAATATTACAAGAATGGTTGTCTTATGAAAATAAAAATATTAAATGTTCATTATAATTAGATCTTTAACAATAAGGCCCTACGCATGATTTAAAGATTTAAGGTTATAATGATAAGATATTTAATATTTTATTTTTCATTGGAGCATTAATAACGTTGTACACTCAATCTAAAATCAATAGTGTTAGCTCCCTAACGGAGTGGTTTACACTAGGTGATTTTAGAAAGGCTAAACAAAATCGGGAATCATTTCATATGATAGACACTACATTGTCTTAAGAAATATGGAAATGGTGGGATTTGCCCGCCAATAGCAATAATAAACTTCGCCAACCGAATAAGTTATTGGCGTATTGGTTATCCGACTTTTCATGCAGTGGTTAAGGAACCCACATATTATTATTTTAATGGAAGTGCTCACTGAATAACAAATGAATCCCAACAACAGTAATAATGAACTCCTCCATCAGGATAAGTTATTGACGTATTGATTGTATGATTTATTTTGCTACGAAGTTGAGGAACCCACATTAATTAAAAGGGATTGTTTTCTAATAACGATAATGATCTCTTATTCTATTTGAGATTCATTATATGATGTGGTTGGCAAACTCATTTTAATTTTAAATATGCATGATAGTATTAATAATTCACCTTGCATATTGTATGAATGCATTTATATTTAGATTATTTATGTCTAATCTATTTTATCTGCTTGCTTACATATTCAATGATACTGGACCTTATTAATATTGACTGGAAAAGGAATTTAGATATTTTATTCACAACGTAGTGGTACAAAATATATTTACTACTCCTAAACCTAATCCTTTTACTTTATGACACCCAAGAGAACATTAATGTTTTTAATAAGTGAAATAAGGCAAATGATAGGACTTGGTGCAATATTCTAGAGTTTACGTCGAATACGTTCCAAAGCTAACATTTACATTATTTAATTTTCTTCAAGCATTATGTTAAATATCAATGAGATTTAGTGAGATTAGATAGAGGAGATGTCTAAATACTATGTCAAACTTGAATACCATTAAGATAGCCTAAGGAACTCCAGTATGAGATCGTATTTTAAAAATGATTGTTTATTTTTAAAAAATTGAACTGGAGGTCAATAGGGCTGACTTGAATGATAAGTTTCAAATTGACATGATTATTGCCTTGTTACCAAACTGGTTCGGCTCTTTCAGAGTAAACTAAATAAGGAATCAGTTTGAGTTCACACTCGTTGATATTCTTATATAATTGGTAATAGATGAAGGAATAATCAAGAGCATGGGCGTTTCTATCAATCTAACCTAGTCTATACCATCTTCTTCTAGGCCCAAGTAGACGGGCAAAGGAAAGAAGAAGGATGATAATAGGACTAGGCTAGCACAAAACATGGGTATCCAAAAGATTAAAGGGAATAAGACAGTGTATGTTGAAGGTGAAATAAACTGTTTCTTTTGCCGCTAACT